AGTTTTATAATTATTTATTTTAAGTTAAACGTGAACAATTATGTTCATTAGTTTTTTTATCCGCAGTTTTTACTATGTTTTATTTTATCAATATAATCACAGATTTTTATAGTACGAACAAAAAAATGTTTTCTATAATAAATACAATAGGTAATGGATCTATTTACGACATGGTGTCTTTGAAGCATTCGCTTCATTTGTTAAATATCTTTATAATCTAATGTGTATCATAGTTGGATCTCTGCATTTGCTCCTGTTAATCAGTATATCTCAAAAATGGGATTAAATATGCTGACACCTATATATTATGTAAAAGATAGACCCCTAATCTGAATCAAACGGGAATGGGAGTTTTTTTTCTTATTCCCATTTCCCTTATTCTGAATCGAATGGGAAAGGCATTTTTTGCCATATTTTGTACCAAATTTTTCTCAAGTAAGTTTTGTTGGAGATAAGGAAGAGATAAAAATAGTTAAAAAGAATTTTAATTAATACATAAGTAACTAATAATGATCAGATTTTCAAATATATTTTAATAAAATTATTATTATAATAAAATTATTTAAATTAAATTAAAATTTTTATTTATTTATTTTATCCAAAAGAGTTGTTCTGTTTTTCGAATATATTTTAATAAAGGGGTATATAAAGGTGTATATAATAGAATATTGATAGAGTCGAACCCATTTTATCTGTTCGTTTCGTGTGATAGTCATGATATGAGTCTAGTATCTTCATACGACTTTTATGGAAACTAATAACATTTTGGATCTAATAATCTCAAGACATATATACAATATTTTTCAATAATAATAAACAATAAATTATCCATACTTTTTAAGGATTACCATATTGCTGCAGGAATAGTAGAATAGAATAGATTTGTAGGTCGCTGTGTACAACTGTTCGACTATTCCATTAATAAATAAGTTGAGCGATTGAATGCCTTGGAAACTTTAAAAGATACTATTTGACACTTTTGTTTACACTACAGCCAAAATATAATATTAAAGGCAATATAATGACATATGAAACATTTTGTTAGAATTAATTGACAGTTAAATGCAATAATAAGAACCACATAAACAATTTATGTACACCAGCCACAAGAGACAAGCAGGTGAATTATTGTATCCATTTGAGTATAACATATATAATTTTTTAGCCTGTGTGACTTGGGCCAATTTAGCATATGGCATTATTTATTTTTGTACTTTAATAAAAAAAGTGTTAATTACATCATAAAACGTCATTGCGTTGAAAACGAAACGAAATTATACACTTAAGATATACTCAACTTTCATTATCTTAAATTAACTTACACGTGAAAAACAATTCGCTGATACACACATGACCAAATCATTTCATATTTTAAGGACGCATGTATATATATTTATATATATGGTATATGATATTTGAATCTGAAAAGTATTGACTTTGCAATATTTTGCAATTAAGACGATAGATACAGAATTCGTACATAAATGTGGTGTTTACAATATATATAAAATTATCTTATCGGTACAAAATCAAGTACATTTATTACGCAGTAAAAGTAAATACATTTAATAATTTTTTTAAAAGTGATTTATTTTTTAAAATTTTTTTAATTATTTATCGTACACTTTTCATTTTTAAACTTAATTTTAAAAAAAAAAAATAACTATATTTTTTGTTATTAACTCTAACACTCTCATTTGGGATACAAACTATTATTCTATACACTACACAACAAAACTAGTATATATTTATATAAGCTATGTAATTTATGTTTGTGTTCAGTTTTCTTGTGTAAACTAAGTGTCAGTTTATGCTTCTTTATATGTGTCTATCTATATACGTTATTAATTATCATAAATCAGAAATACTGAAAACTTTAGTTTGCGTAATGCTATATTTTGTTTAGTCAGGTTTAACCCTAAAAGGTTAGATGAAAACCTTATTTAGGAATATCTTTCCCAGTTAAAAATTAAAAATGAACAACGCACAACTGCAGTTTTTTTTTGTTTGCTACTATTGGGTTGAAATTGGCAGTTTACTTAAAAATTAAAATTATTTAGGAGTTATCTGTAATAATAATATATATTAGCATATAAGATGCTTTGTGTCAACCAGAACGAAAAATAAATCTAGATTTGCATTTAAAAACTACATTTACAAAAGAACAGCAAATACTAAGACGTTAAAGTGCTAAATATTATAGATTATTCTTATATGAATTTTTTTTGTATAGAATATTATGGATTATTAGAATTTCCAGTGCTTCTAAGGTGGTATATATAACCGATATTGTATGCCTTATTATTTTATTACGCTTGTAATGATTTATTTGTAGAGAAGATTATAAATATCAGAAGTTTTAGTGCTTCGAAGATATTATATATTACCGATATAAGTTGCTTTATTGTTTTCATATATATGAAATAATTATGAATACAATTTTTAGTGCTTGCAGATATTAAATATTAATTTTATATTGGATTGATTTGTGTGCTTTACATATATATAATAAAATCTTTAAGCTTAAATATGAGATTCAATTAATCTATTATATACATAATATTTATATATATTTAATTATATAAATATATACGTTATATTTATAAAGTTATAAATAGGTACACAATAAAAGTGTACCTATATACATAAATTCAATGCAATATAATATAATATATATTCAAGCGTTTATAAATTAATTTTAAAAAAAAATTTATTAATTCTATTTCTAGAAAAATGTTTTTGCCCAGAAAAACAAATCCTACAAGTGCTATTTAAATTAAAATTTAATCTGTAGGGTTTTGAGTACATATATTTTGCATAAATAAATTTTAATATAAAAAACCATGCAGGAAAAAATAATAAATAATATATTCAAATATAAAATATTTCACTTTTTTAAGACAATATTTAGGTTAGATTGTACCGGCGATCCTAATGGCCAATTGTGAAGACCATATTTTCGCTTCATTTGTTATATATCTTTATAATCTAATATGTATCATAGTTGGATCTCTGCATTTACTTCTGTTAATCAGTATATCTCCAAAATAAGATTAAATATGCTGACACTTATATATTATGTAAAAGATGGACCCCTAATCTGAATCAAACGGGAATGTGAGTTTTTTTTTTCTATTCCCATTTCTCTTATTCTGAATCGAATGGGAAAGGGATTTTTTGCGATATTTTGTACCAAATTTTTCTCAAGTAAGTTTTGTGGGAGATAAGGAAGAGATAAAAATAGTTAAAAAGAATTTTAATTAATACATAAGTAACTAATAATGATCAGATTTGTAAATATGTTGTAATAAAATTATTATTATAATAAAATTATTTAAATTAAATTAAAATTTTTATTTATTTATTTTATCCACAAGAGTTGTTCTGTTTTTCGAATATGTTTTAATAAAGGGGTATATAAAGGTGTATATAATAGAATATTGATAGAACCCATTTTATCTGTTCGTTTCGTGCGATAGTCATGATTTGAGTCCAGTATCTTCATACGACTTTTATGGAAACTAATAACATTTTGAATCTAATAAACTCACGATATATATATCTCTTGTGGCATATTTTATATTTTACTATGTTTAAATATTAACTATTATAATATTTATTACTTTTACATCACTCTTATATGATAATAGTCGTATGCTAGCACCAAAAATTTGTTTTCATGCAAAATAAAACCAAAGATCCTACTATGGTAGTATATTTTGAGGCCAAGACCTAGTTAATTTTAATTGTTTGCGATGAATTTTTAAGAACTAAATCAATAAATAGACGGGAAGGGATGACTATAATCCTATTCCCGTCAAAATGTGTTTCTGAAGTGATATTTCATAAGAGAAACTATTAGGCAATGACACCCCACCTTCCAAACTTTGATTTGACTAAGATATTGCCACAAAAGCAAGCAATGTTGTGCAATAATTGAAACCAGATTTCAAGCCAATTATTTTCCGATTTTAATCTAATAACCTGTTTTAGAGCTTGTAAATATACTTATCTTATTCTTTTATTAGATAACATTTATTCTTCGTAAAGTTGAGAGGCTTAGCTCTTTCTTCGTATCTTGGCAATGAGAGCATGATGACATAATATATTTGTATATAAAAGTCCTAATATGCATTCGCTAAAATATGATACATATATATCTCTTAGAAGCATATGTACCGACATACGGTTATCATGTGTGGTCATGGTTAATATGATACTACAATATATGTAAATTAATTATATATATCTCTTAGAAGCATATGTACCGACATGCGGTTATTATGTGACACACAGTGCATTGTGTATGGTTATGGTTAATATGATTCTACAATATATATATTTTTATACCTTTAGGTATTCAAATATAGGTAATATCAACTGTATTTATATAAGAGTTTTGAAATGATTCTGAATTTCGATGTTCGACCGGGTCGTGTATACTCGAATTTAAACATTTCAATCGAACACTATATATATTCAAAGATATTCGAACTGTTAGAAGACGTTTAAGCTGTTAGAACATCTGATCTGTTCTATATATCTTTTTATCTTGGCTTTTTTTTATGCCAACACATATAACAGCAAATGCTTAAATTAAAATTTTTCGAACAGTGCGAATTATATTTAAAACGAACGATTTTTTTATAAATTTACCAAAAAAAATATTTCACATTTTTAAGTCAGGAACGAATATTATTAGAAAAGATTTTTTTGCTTGAATATATATTATGACAATTACAAATATTGATTTTTCGATATATATATGTTAAACTATTATTAAGATGCATATAATATTTGTTAATAAAAGTTTGTTTCATATATCAACAAAAAAAAAAAAATTAAATAAACAAGTCATTAAAAAATATAACATATATAATGTATATAATAAATATACAAACAAAATAGATAAAACATTAAATAATGTACATAAACTTAAAAATTAAATAAGTAAATTTTTTGTATATGAAATAATAATTATTTTATCAATTTTATTTTAGTAATAATATATAATAATTGAAGCACTAAAAGCACTGATTTTTTGGGGACAACGTACATATATACCAGATAATAGATAAACGTATAGTCTATAGCAGTGTATGGGTGTTGGAAGATATTTTGCAATTAATTAATAAATAATTCGATTTTAAAAGATTTTAATAAATAAGTTAGATATTTTGGAAAAACATTGCGTAATTAGTTTCCTGTTCGTTTTCATATTTGTGCACAGATTTTTTTTAATTATAAATAATTTTTTCTTTTTTTTTTTTGAAAAAAAAAACAATTTTGCTGTTAATCGATCAGTAATTCGAAATGTACTGAACCTATTCTTTCTTTGCGATCGTGGACTATATTGCGTGCCCAAGCTTTGCATTCAATGTTTATGATAATGCCATCTGTTAAAATGAGAAAAATATTTATTTTATTATTATAATTATTATAATTGTAGTAAATTATATTTACTTTTTGGGCGTTGAAAATGTACAGCAACAAGTGGACTTAAATAGCCTTCAGAGTTTTGATATGGATAGAAATAGCCAGGGAAACCTCGTATGGGTAAATAATCAACTGGTCCAATATTTTCTTGATCAGCTGGATTTTCACCTTCGCACGATACCCAAATAGTATTCATCTATCAAAAATAAATGAAAATTAATAATATTACTATTAAATATTATTGTACATATATGCATATATATTTTTACTTACTTTATGATTTTCAGTGGTCTCAACGTTTGAAATATATTCTTTCAAATTTTTCGGCATTTCCTTGGGCAAAGTTCTAGAATCATTATAATATTCTGGTATCCATCCATAAATTTTGTTTAATTTTAAGAAAACGCACGGTGAACTTTTATGATAGCTGTAGTTATTTTCTTTCACGCAAGGCAACCACGATTTGATATCGACATCACATACTTGACCCTTTGGTGGTGGTTGATTGTAATCGCAGTTATAAATGTTTTGACCACGACCAGGAGTTAAACCGGGCACTTTATATACTGTTTTAATATAAAATAATATTAAAAATATTATTATAGCAAAAACAAAAAAAATTGTTTACTTCCTATAAATTTAAAAATAAAAAGAAATCAAATAAACTTTTACAAACAATTACGACTGAGTCAGATTATAATAGATATTTAACAACATCGACAAGTTATATAGCGAACAAATTAGATATGTTTTATCAATATAACAGCTAATAAGAAACGTATGCATATATATATAATGCGGAGACGCAAAGGATCAAATGCGAGCATATAGCCATATGATCCTATTTTTACAAACAAGACTCTGATGATTCTTTGTATCAATAGCATATGGTTATTTAAAAACAAGACCCCAAACTGCTTATTTTAAAATAACATAAGCAGTTCTAATACCAAATTATTTAGTTAAAGGCCCTACCCTATAAAGAAATACATTTCTGAGATATCTATGGCTAATATTCAACAATATGTAGAATAATTTACTAATAGATTATTATTTTTATTAAAAGAAGATATCTTACACTGCGGCCTAAAATACCTATTTAGCCCCTTACTCGGGTTATAGTGTTTCTCCAATTCCAATTTCTTTAATGAAAGACAGTATAGAGCCCATATTTCCTAGTCTTGAATTCTTATGATATATGAAATACCCTCCTATGTGTTACTTTTCTTGTGCATTTGTGCCGGGCACTCTCCAAGCACATGGTATGCAGTTTCTCTCTCTTTTCTGCAGTATCTGCAGTCTGAGTTGGATTCAATTGCTAACATCGATAAGTGATTATTCAAGCTACAGTGACTGGTCAATAATCCTGCAATAGTTCTTAGGTTATTTTTTGATTGTGCTATACAATGTTTGAAGCGTTTTGCGTTACTCCTTACTAATGGAGTACTGAAGAAATAATTAATTATAATTATTTTAAGATATTTTTAAAAATAATTATAATTTATTTAAATAGATATGAAAAAAATATATGCAAAAAAGTTTTATTACAAGGACGTTTTTATAGTCCCCATTTTTAAGCAGTGTTGCTTATCCCATCGGTGTCCATTTAAAAGAGCTTTCACTGTATATTTTTATTTGTTTGTGTGTTTTATTAATTATTGTATTAAGGTATTTGCCTGAAGTGTTGTTAATGAAGCTAAATAAATAAGATTTATTGATCTAGGCTAAGAATTGATAATATTATCTATGACGTCAGAATACATTTTTGATAACGGTTTTGATGTCACATTGATAACATCAAAATTTTAATAAAAATATAAAATTAAAATTTTAAGACCACAGTAAGAAAAATATGTTCTATTTTGAAAGTACTTAAGAAACTTCAATGATAACAAAAAGTTATTTAATAATTTATTAAGTATCGTTATATGTGATGTACGTAATTGAAAATAACGTAGGTCAGATATGAATACGTAATAAAATATATGCCAGAAATAGAATAAAATTTTGGTAATATAAGAACCTAAATGGAAGTATTAGCAAATGTTTAAAATTGCGCGAAATTATTTTAAAATATTTATTTGCTGATATTTAAATATGACATAAACTTAAATACATATATCGTATCTGTATAGTCCGTTAATAATACAAATCTCTCACCAAATTGTCAAAATATTCAGTAATTACTTGATGCAGATACGTAAAATGTGAGATTTGAAACTGAATTACACTTGTTAATATTACTTTGGGCTAAGCAAGATATTGAGATTACATCTCTCTCTTGACATATGATAATCATGTTCTATAATCATGTTCTATAAGTCTCTTATTATTCCTGTACTTCCTGTGTGATGTATGGGTTTAAACAATAACCGACATAATATGAAGGGATTAGGAGCATTTCTAAGTAAATTTTTTAGGAAGATCTATGGATCTGTACGCGTTGGCTCTCTCTCTTGACATACGATAATCATGTTCTATAAGTCTCTTATTATTCCTGTACTTCCTGTGTGATGTATGGGTTTAAACAATAACCGACATAATATGAAGGGATTAGGAGCATTTCTAAGTAAATTTTTTAGGAAGATCTATGGATCTGTACGCGTTGGCTCTCTCTCTTGACATACGATAATCATGTTCTATAAGTCTCTTATTATTCCTGTACTTCCTGTGTGATGTATGGGTTTAAACAATAACCGACATAATATGAAGGGATTAGGAGCATTTCTAAGTAAATTTTTTAGGAAGATCTATGGATCTGCACGCGTTGGCAATGTATATGAAATTGGCGTAGTTGAACGTATTAATATCTTGCAGTTGCACTAAAATTTTGATAATGATTTGTTGGTCAAATCAGAGCTAAAATTTTCTATTCTATAAAAAACTATTCAGCATTTTTATCATTTTGAAAAAAAAGTAACAAAGTATGTAATTTTCACAATTAAGTCAATCACAACTTGTCAAAAACTTTGGCAATATTAAGTAAAACCATTATTGTGGACCTAACCTCGTTCCACATTTTCAAATTTATTTGAGAAATTCTTTGTAGATGTGGTCCTGTAAAATACTTCTCTTAAATACTACATTTCTGATTGAATTTAATACCCGCCAATTTTACGAATCTTGGAGTTTTTTTATTTATTACTTTTTTTCATTTGTTGTGGTTCAGTTAGTTCACATTATCCACCAGTATTAATGATTTTATCTATTCTGGTATCGTTGTCGATATCAAATCATTAAATTTGAATTGTTCTTTTAAAGAGTCTACATATGGTTCTACTTAATCTTATTGTGAATAGAACCAACAATTTAGACCAAATATTTGAGAATTTTGATGCATCCATAAAGAAGTTTATAATCTTTTACATGATTCTTTGTACCAGAATAGATGATGCAATTAATAAAGTGCTGCAATTTAACGCAATAATGCTACAAGAAAAACTAATAAAACACATTTTTATACTGTTCGTATAAATATTCCCTCAAAATAAGGGATACAGGTTAAACAGGTATTTGTAGAAGTTTGTGCGTTGATATAAAAGATAAGAATATCAACTTCATTTACATTTATCATATCCAACGTAATTTTATTGGTAATATAAGAATAAGATATATATATATATTATATAGTGTTATATAAACATATAAATTAAGTAGCCCATATTATATTATTTACATAATGAAAAGAAACTAATTACTAATAAAATCATTAATGAATATAAAGGTTATTAGGTGTTGTATATATTCAGATATAACAACGTAATCTAAATTCAGTATTTTGTTCTTTTCGGCTTTCTTTTATTATCAAATCGTCTAGGGATATTTGTTTTAAGAGTTCAAAACCACAAAACGTATAGAGAAAGAAATGTATTGTTTAAGATCTAAGAGCTTTAGTATGTGGTATGCTCTATGCATACAATTCCTGGACCTTCTCAAATGGCACACATATATCTGACCTTAACACATAAGTTTACATATATTCAAGTTTAAATATAGAATAATATGAACATGATAATTTGTGTTTAATACTACGCTATACCTTCTGCTCAAAAAGTATCCGGACTTTGTTGTTTGTTAACTACTTTTTAAGTAATAGACCTTTTTCAAAAATTTTTGTTATGTTGGTACACCCTTTCTTGACACATGGTTCTTGATATGGTATTTGAGCGCCATCCGTCAATTAGTTTGTTTACAGCAGCTGTTAATGTGAGACTACTTCAAATGCACTTAGCGATTTTTACTATGGAAAATTCTTATTGTACGCGAGTTTTTAATCAAACACAACACCACTGTCATCGCTCAGGCACCATATTCGCCAGATCTGGTTCTGTGCGACTTTTTCCTGTTCCCGAAACTAAAATTGCCCCTTCGTGGTAAGCGTTTTGAGTCGATTGAATCGGTAAAAGAGAATTTGCCGAAGGAACTTAAAGCCATACCTTCACAGGCCTACAAAAAGTGAATGGAAGATTGGGTTAAGCGTTGGCATATGTGTATCGCTTCAGAAGGAGCATATTTTGAAGGAGATAAAAAAAATTTGGAATAAAATTTAAATTCTTGTGTTTTATTTACAAAATCTGAGTACTTTTTGAGCAGAAGGTACGTATAACTGACAAACGAACAAAAAAAGAAGTTAAGTCGGCTTGTCTCTAGTCAAACGAAAATTTTGTAATGTCTGTCGTACTGAATGGTGTAGAAACATGAAAAAAACTAACAGCGACGTGAAAAAACCAGGATCGAACCGAGACTGTTATAATTAAGCTTGTTAGATCTCCAGCAAACTATATGCGTTTAAATGCGATTAGAAAAGTTGTTGATTAAGTATTTGGTGGTGAAGAAAAATGATGTGTCCCCTTAATGGAAGAGGTAGTAGACAAACATTTGTACAAATGGACATTTGTAAATGCTCTAACTAGAAAATGATTTGATTTGGTATCGTCTAGTGGAAAATGTAGTTGAGGACGGTAAAAAGACCAAGTGACGAAGGATCTGAAGACACTCAGCATTACCAACTGGTGACAGATAGCTACTGATCGAGCAAGCTGTAGGAGGCTATAGATGCGCCCAAGGACGATAAATTTGTAATGGCCAACTAAGTAAGTGAATAATCATATTAGTTGTAAAGCCTAAAGATTATAGTTAAAAGTTGTACAATTATACAACTTTATTAGGTTCGTAGACTTAAAACTTTCAAGTGTATAAGCGAAGAAGTTACGATATAATTTTTTTTTTGTATATAGTTATGGTTAGTAACTAATGGAACGTTACTAATCAAATATTTAACAGAAGTCGTTCCTAAGTTTATATAATCTTTATCTATCTTTAACAATAAAAAAGAATATTTCAAACAAATTCTGAAGAAATTAATATGGAAACCATTTTTTAATGATATATCAATGTGATATCTAAATAGGCATTGTCCTACTATGCCAAATTATCCCCCTGTGGGGGTGGGGAAGGGGTACTATTTTGAGGTCTGATTAACATTATGTGCCTCTAAATACAAATGCTGTTTTTTCATTATTTCATCCCAATTTTTACTAATATATTCGAGTTTAGCATCACATAAATGCAGCAAAATGATTCCTTTCAACGTCTATTTAAGTTTTACATGGCAAAGAAATTTTGATTTGGTGCTAATAAAACCAAATGAAGATTTTTCTTAAATGAAGTTGGACATTATTCTTTTTGTTCCTAATCATATTGTATGGAATATATATAAATGGATATTTCAGTGTACTACATTGTAGTAATTTAAATATGTCGTGTTTTTATTTTACCATCTAAGAATTTATCAAGAGAATCCGTCCAGTGTTTGTAGTTTTCATGCTGTGTGCCCTTGTACCAAATTAGAGTACTTTCAACATTGTCCTCTGGGGGTAGTGGCCTAAAACCAAGACCTGAAATTTATTAAAAAAAATATTCAATTAATTCAAATATATAATTGCATATAACAAACAAGTAAACATGCCTGGATTTGTGCCAATAATGGAGCTCTCCAACGTCCATTTTGGTATACGTGGATCCAATGTTTGGAAGAATGCCCACATACAAATTGCAACCAGCGCTGCTAAGACACCATAAAATGCAGTATAGAAAACACCAATTTTTGCTAAAATAGATATTTAAAAAAATTTTTATATTATTAAATTGTATTTCATAAGCATGCACATGGTCATGCACAATAAATAGATATACAAAAAACTAATATATATAGTTATTGTTCACTTAACTTTCACAATTTAAAAATTAAAAAAAATTGAATAAAACTGTAGTGTGAAGAATAAAATCTATTATGATACTCTGACACAAGACACAACATTTTTATGAATTTTATTTAATCATCAAAACATGAACAAGAATAGTTCAACAAAGGAAACGATTTACAGTCACTTGAAGAAATCTTTCGAATTCGCTTCCATGCTCCACAATTGGTTCTATTGAATTAACCAATTTACTTATTTGTGGAATAATGCGCGATGTTGAGCAGTTTTATTTTTTTATTGGATGAAATATGCTCAAAGTCAAGCCAGAATGGCAAAAAGTCATCTGGGTTAAATGCTTAATTGATTATACTGGGGGAATACTAGTTAAGTGGTTAATAAAAGAAGTTCGCTTTACCCGAGAACAAAAAATGAGTTAAAAAGCACATAATTAATTATACTTTTAATGCTCAAAATATGCTTCACGAGCTTAAAGGGTAATAAGCACATAATTAGAGAGGATTACTTCTAAATTTTGTAAATCAATGTAAAATCGGTTAAGAGTTGAAACACCTTCCGTTACAGCTTGTAATGCGTGTAATTGCATTACACATATAAATACAGGCGCCCAGTAACATAACGCAGAGGTTGTCGAGTTGTCGTACATTGGGGTGCGGGTTCTTTGTGACAAAAAGGCAAAAGATAAGATCGGAGTGGGTGAATGAAATAATAGCACTATTCCAAATATAAAAAAATCAAAGGAGAATACTGATACGCAAAGAGAAGAAACTGAAATATAACAACATACTGGGTTACACACTTTGTGATTCTAAAAGTGATGACATTATGGTTGCAGAATACCTTTAAATACCCTACATATGGTACCTTTAGGAGTAACTTTTGTTGACTTACCTATCGGTACTTAGCTGCGATATTGATAAAGCTACTTTTCGTCTGGCCTAAGCTGACAAAGTGTAGCTTAATTAAGCAATCAGATTTCCATTTGGCCTTTACTGATGAAAAAATAAATAACGAATCGCCAACACTGTGTTAGGAGTTGCTAGAGACAACAGTGGGAACTTGGATTAGTTGATCTAGACACATGATGGTTCGTTAGAGTTATGCTGACGACCACCATGTGAATGAGTGAACTGGTCTGCGTGAAGTGGCAGTGCTTGAGTTGTCTTCTGTTTGGCATATGTTGGCGAAGGGAATTTTAACCAGTCATCCAGACTTTTTTTTGGCCAAAAGCTGATGAAGGAATGCATGACGAGGAATGCATGACGTTTGCTCCAGTCGTCGCAACTCATTTATATGTCGAGCTAAAAGGAGCAACATATATTCAAGCAAAAAATACAATTTTCGAACAAAAATACGTTTTTAGACCGGGTATTTATCAATCCACCTAGTATGGCTGTATCACACTACTTCGGAGACAAATCGATAGTCATCTGATATGACATTATAAGCTCTTTAGATTTTTATTCTTTATATATTATATTAGACATTAGAAGCTCAATAAAATATTTCGTTAGTGCATAGTTAAATGTGGTGTCATTATATATACGTATATAGGTGTGCCTGATCACGAAAACCACACAAATTATTGTAGAAGACGGAAATAAACCTTGACATATGAATAAGTATATTCATATGAAGTTTTGAATGGAATTGCTTCTATAGACAAAATATATTCAAAAATAATTAACCACTGGAATATTCCATTATTTTATGTATGTTAGGGCTCTGACAATGGTGTCCAAAGTAAAGGGAAATATTCAAGAAGAGATGAACCCCATTTTATATATATGTATATATTTTTACCTTATTTTTACCTAAAGTGAAAAAAATTGAAAAAATTTTTGCAAGATATACCATATACAATCTTCGAAGAAAAGTGTTATCAGTGATATAGAGGCTCCCTACCATTTATAATATAGTTCTGTAGTTTCATTGTAATTTAATCTAAGTTTCATTTGCATAGACATAGTAATAACAAAATCAAAGAATTACAAATATTATAAACAAACAAAAAAATAATTGGAGAGAGCATGGATGTGAGATATTCTTCGTCTTTAAAGAAAAAACACATACATAGTTAAGATAGATATACTTTTTCACTCAAAGCGGAATCTCAAGATCATATTTATTTTTTTCTTATAATATCTCAACGATGGTGTATAAGAGGTCATTGTGACAATTTTCTATGAAAACACAAATACAAGTAATTAACTCTTTGAGTGAAACATTTAATTATCAACTCCAACTGGCTCTCCTTTACTCTTTTGCTCTTTTGCTCTTCACTTTAGACTTTGAGAGAGTCTTTTAACATATGATGTTAGTTTTGTATGCAGCTTCAAATAAAAAAATAGTACAGCACAGGTAAAAAATAAAAAATGGTTTATGAATGCCACAATTTTTGTGTAAAGAAGGGAGGACTACAAAGTGCCGTATTGGAATTGTGTATTAGATGCACAATGAGAATAAAACAAGAAATTATTTCCCTAAAGTAAGATTAAGCATTATTATTTATAATAAAGAACAATTATACTATATAAAATATATCATTATATATAATGAATTAGTGTGAGTTCCCAAATATTGCTTCAAGAAGTGTTCCTATCCATGCTTTTCCTTAAGCGCTTTCAATTAGTGGCTACTACTTGATTTACACGATAGTTTTATTTGTAATTTGAGCTGTCAAAAATTTTAAATTGACAACTGAAATCAAAAAGCATAAATGTTGATTCACACGGCGAATCATTATAATTTGATTGTCAGATTCATCGTATGTTACACTTTTTAACTACTTTCACAAAATTTGATGTCGAAATCAAGAATAATTTGATATGACAGCTTAAATTACAAATAAAACTCTCGTGTGAATCCAGTATTAAGGGTCAATTTTATAATGCTCACTTAAGTATTGATTTGCGTCGAAATTTCAAGTATTACTTTTAGAAACCAATATCGACCACTTAACAGTTATTTCAACTAAGCGTGCATTGTGAAATGTACAATGATCGAAAAAGTCAATTCTTATAATTAAAATTAAATTAAAAAAATTAAAAAATTAGAATTAAAAAATTAACATCCAATTACACACTAGTAACGTCAGATTTTATACTGTCTTAAATTATGCTTAAGTCATCAATTTTATTGACTTAATTCTTAAGTGAGTTTTGAAATCAAAGTTTGGACTGTGTAATCGGACTTAAAACTATTTAAATTATAATAGACCGTTTAAATTGATTTTATTCCATGCGTAAATTTAGTTAGAAGCTTGAGTCTTTATATGAACTTTTTATTAAACAAAGTTAAGATGTAAAATTGTTAGTAAGGTTTTGAGAAGGTGGTTGATAAAATGTAGTTTTCTTAAGGCTTTCACCAAAATGGGGATGAAGTTGTGAAATTTCTTGAATAAATATATATTAACAGGGTTGGTATTTAGGGCTAAAGAACAAGTACTCAACGTTCGTGTGACTTGGCCGTGTTATGAATTTGAAATGGTTAGCAATAACTAGCACATTTTTTTTATTTGACTGATGCCGAATTATTTTAAGACTGGTGAATATTTTACTCGAACTGGTAGTACAAGTTAAAATTAATGGCACATCAAAGACAAAGAAAATTTCAGTAAAAATTTGCTAGATTTTATAAATCTACTATGATAAAGTAAATAATACGTCAGAAGCATGAGCAAATACATATACGTACCGCTTATTAGTAAAAATGATAGTTGCTGGGTGAAAATGGATCAATCATTAAAACATCTTAAAAGCATGGGAATATAACATTTCTTCAACAATATATGTCTTATGTTTATAACCTTTATTTCATATATTCTTAAATAGCTTTTATGTAGTTTAATTAATATGGAGTGCATAGTTCTTTGCCTTGTAAGGCAAGCTAGTTATACGGACGGTATGCTCCGTTGGTCTTAGAAATAATATAAACAAAAATCAATTGGGCAACTGGCAAATTGTAGATAGAGATGAAAATACGTTAAGTGGAAAATTATCCCATTTACTTAGACCCTAAAAAGGGAGTTCTGAGAAGAACTAGCAATCCTACAATAGAAATGTGATTTTTTAGATAAGAAATGATTGAAAACCTGGGCACCATTTAGATCAATAAAATTGTTTGAAAAAATCTTTTCTGTTTGCCCAACTCTTTTTCCCCAACCCATTGTAAAACGCAAGATTTAGTAAGCCCATGATATGATGATACGCATTAACACTTGAGAACGGTTTTTAAAGGCAAACAAAAATAACAATGCAAAACCACCATTCCATCTACTTAAAGATTCCTAAATGAAGTAAAAGGTGTGTGCATTGTAGGAAATTATACATTACTTCCACTTCCACTTCTTTGCTTCACTACATACAATACTCCAGGGAAATGGATGTATTTATTTTACATTCCCAATGCAGGACGATAGTCTGCAATTTATTTAAAACAACACATTTTTGGCTGAAGGGATTTATCCCCTTCACCAGCAGCATTGTTGAGAAATAAACTAGGCCAGTCTTTTTCGTAAAATTCCTCATTGCAGGAATGAGTGTGTTTTACTTTAATGAGCTACGTTAAGTGCATATATTTCAGTTCCCTAGGCATTATATGGAAAAGTTATGATGCTATAGTGTCAGAAAAAAATAAGAGTTTATCGCTATAACAGTTTAGGTATATATTGATAGCATTCTTAGGATTTTAGTTATAGATATAAATTATTTTCAAAGGTTTGATGCTATGGTGTAAGGAAAAAAATATATAATAAATTGTTTTAATATTTTAGATAAATCTTTATTACACTACTGAATACCATTATTTCATTGTATAAAAAAGTTAGACTACATCACTATAACATTTAAGATCGATACTTACTACTTTAGATAATGCTATTATTTTA